AGATTTAATTTTATAAAGTACACATGAAAATCCTGTCCTTGCAACTACCCGTCAATGGAAATAAGACACACCAAACAACTTTTAAAATTTGCATTTTCAATGAAACTTTCTTGTTCTCATCTATACATGTATTTTGCAGTGCTAAGACTGAACACAGTACCTTCTATATACTAACAAGTGTGAGCTGACCTACATCCCTAGTCCTCTCCAACTCATGCTCTGCAACTGCTTTTTTTGTTTTGTTTTGTTTTGTTTCCAATTTATGTATTTGGTACAGGGTCTCACTGCACAGCTTGGACTTGTAGGGATCTTCCTGTTTTCAGCCTCCCCAGTGCTGGGATTACAGGTGTGTCACCACACCCAGATTGCCAGCTCAGCACACCCTGGGAGCAGGGCAGCATGAGTCTGTAACTTTTTATCAAAGCTTAAAATTCAACCTTTTTTGTTGTTTTTAATCAACTCTGTAACTGAAACATAAGTCCAAAATAACTAATTTTGACCCCAGGAAATTTTAAAAACTAATCATTAGTAGACCTACTTTGTTGCATAAAATGGGAAGTGAGGAATACGACCTCCCACTATAAATGTAAATCATATTATACTTAAGTTGTGTATAATGGAAACGATCGCTTTCAAGAATAAAGTGATATACATGGACAGAACACATTCTCTCAGGCTTTCACAGACAGCACAATGGCCAAGCAATGGACGTGACTCTTCCACATGGCTGACACTCACAAAGGTTCTACAATCTGAGGTACAGGATCTCAGGACAAATCCTGAGGGGATTTCACTGACCTTATCAGACCCAAAAGCTACAATTCTTGTTGCATAGGTCCTGCTTTACCTTGGTCTTAACCATCCAGCAGAAAAGTATAAAGAAATATAAGAAGTAAAGCCATGGTGTTGTGTTGAGCTATAGGGGACTCAGGTCAACAATTTCTGACATTGCCAGTCAAGCGGAAGACCCAATAGTATTATGGGCTACTGGACTCTTTTAGAATATTTTGCTGAGTTTACACACCTGTAATATTCAAATAACGGAACGTAACAAGAAAAGGGGATACAGATGAATGTCCATTTTGTATCTGTGTATTCAAATTGGTTAGGATAGATAGTTACATTCTCTTGATGAATACAGTGATTTGTTCTAATGGTGTTTGTAAATAGGATATCATGTCTGCATCTTGTATATGGCAATTAACCACTAGGAAGAATGTATGCAATGTGTTAATTATTGAAACTTGTCCTACCAATTTGATTTGAAACTGTCTCATTGCTATTTATCAATAAAATTATGGGAAAAAAAAGAAGTGATATAAATGGACTGTTTTTAAAACTTTCAGGTATTTTATAAATAATGGCCAGTATCAGTTATATTCACATGAATGAGTGATCCAGAAGTTCCATTAAAGAATGCTGATATTTACAAGATGCCCAAAATTATGTCTTTCATCATGTCCTAAACTTAGTGACAAATTGAAATGTACTCATACAACTGTCAATACGTGATTTTCCTAAAATTTTAGGGTGATGCAGCAAAACATAATTAACTTAAAGATTACTGTTATGCAATCTAGTAAAAATACTCTACTTCGGTTTCATACTGACAGCTCATTCCCTACCTCCTCATTGGGTGGGGAATCATCCCCTGGCAGGTGTGGACAACAGTTGTGGCAGGAAATATTGGGACAGATCAGGAAAACAGGAATCTAGGCCTCTCTAATAACCTGTTTTATTGCCCATGGCCGTCATTTCATCTATTGTTTCCTCTGGTGTAAAATGAAGCAACTGTAAGATGGTTCATTTGAAACCATCAGTCTGTCATCACAGCCTCTGCACTGAAGGTCTTGTGAGTTCATCATTCTCTTCTTGTGCAAGTAATTTAAAGTTCTTTTCTAGGGGTAATGCAAACACAGCTGGGAAGAAGGAAAACATTTTTCTACTCTTTTCTCTCCACTAAAGAGGAGCCTTTAAGCTTACAGATGAAGAAATGGTCAAGGAACCAGCAAAAACTACTGTATGGCCTCTAGGGTAATTGAGAATCCATGGAGGATCTCTTGTGGCTTGAAAACATGTATATTTCATCAGACATTAACTTGGAGACCATGAATGGAACATAGTTCAAAAACTTGAGTAGGAAAAAAATCGCATCTTTATTTTCACCAACTTTTCAAATCATGTTTAATTACAGATGTACGCATTAACCTGAGTAGTAGCTGTTATAGTTAAGCTATGACCAGTAAAATTCAGTTTATCCACGTAGGTGCTGTTACGGATATCTGAAAACATCGTTTATGCTCACCTGGCTATTCTGAAATTACTGCAGCTTATTAGATGTGGGAATGGCTCCTTTAATGCAGAAGGCAGCGCGTGTGTGCGCGCCACACACACTCACACACACACACGCGCGCGCGCGCGCGCAGAGCTAATGCAATACAACAAAGTTGGTCTTAATATTTTTGATAACTGTACTTCATCAAAATTCCCTTTGTAATCCTACAGATTTCACTATAAGCATTTAAAAATACACTGCTTTGAGATTTCATTGTACGTGCTTATGAATCTCTGCCTTAGCAGAGTACCAAACGGGTGTGTGGCACGCCACAGAAAACCTGAAAATTACACTACGACGAGCACAGGTCATTAAAGTGCCACTCGCCGCCGTTACTGCAAATCCAAATCTGAAAAACTGCAATTTACGACTCGATAACTCAGTGGCCAGCCCCAAGGGTCGATCAGGGCCTTTACAGAAACTCCGGCCGCCCAGGGAAGCGAGGTTTGGTGGGACCCATCTCGGGGCCGCGCTTCACTACCCGCCGCAGAGCGGACTGATGGGTCCACAACCCACTTCCTGCTGACTGAAACCCAGCCTCTCTGCACCCCGCTCCTCCCTTCCCCACGACCCGTGCAGGCGGCCCGAGAAAGGGCCCGCAAAACCTTCACTGCTACACCTAAGCCACTCTGAAAAACCTGTATACGAGATTTCGCCGACCCGCCACCACCCCGGGCCTAGGATCCGCGAGCGGCGGCTTGCCTCGCTCGGCCTGGGCCGCGTCTCCCGCGCCCGCGGCGCCAGCTGCCCTCACAACCTCAAGCTCAGAAACCTCCTCCGGCCGGCTGAGGGGCCGCCACTACTTCTGACACGCGCGCGGCCCATTTCTTCCCCCGTTTCTCGTTACTTGAGCCCGGAACCTCAAAACCCTTTGCTGCAAAGCCCGCCGTCCGCTAAGAATTCCAAACGCGGTTCTCTTTAAGGCGCACGAAGCGGAGCAACCAGGCTGAGACTCCTCCCCCAGCACTGCAGCCGCCGCTACGCCCGGCCTTAGCTCCCGGGTGCGGCGCGTTTAGCTGACGTAGCGGCTCGTGACTGGCTGCCTCACTCTGGCGGGCAGCGATTGGCAGGCGGCTGCCAGGCCCCGCCCCTCGCCCCCGCCTCTGGCCCGCGGCCGCCCTGGTGTCCTCGCGCCGCTCGTCCGCGCGAAGCCTGGCAGTTTGCCTCTTCCTCGTCCGTCCTCCGCCCTGCGTCCATGGCCACCGCCGCGACCGAAGAGCCCTTCCCTTTCCATGGTCTACTGCCCAAGAAAGAGACCGGGGCCGCCTCGTTCCTCTGCCGCTACCCGGAGTATGACGGGCGGGGGGTGCTCATCGCCGTCCTGGACACCGGAGTCGACCCCGGGGCTCCGGGAATGCAGGTGAGGCGGCCCGAGGGCCGGCGCGGGCGGCAGGGGCGCGGGCGGGGCGCACCTCGGCGCCGGTAGGCCGGAGCCCTGGCTGCGGCCGGGCCCGGGCGGGAGCACGGCGCGGGGGACCGGCGTCCGCGGACTCGGCCCAGACAAAAGCGGCGTGGCTGGCGCGAGGGACTGGGGAGCCCGGGTCCGCACCTCGCCCCGGGACCCCCGGCCGGGGTGCTGGTGCTGGTGACCCCGACCACGCACCCGCTGCGGGTCCCTAGCGTCTGGGGCACCGGTCCTCGCCTGGGGTGTTTCCGACGAGAATTTTACAGCATTGGGGGTGAGGGGTAGAACACATGGGGCAAAAGATCTATCAGAACTTAATTGTTATTGTTGGGGTTCTGGAGATGGGGTTCTAGGAAGGGCAGTCTATCTTGGCAACACCCGAGCAGCGTTTCAGAAGATAACTCAGGCCACTTCCGGAATTGTTTCTTCTGATAGTTTTGTTTATTCTATTTTTAAGCGCGCTGCCGTGTTGTTTAGTGTCATTGAATCTCGTGCTTGAGTCTTTGACATAAGCAGTAGTTAGTTTCGTTGGTTTTGGGAGAACTTTTTCAGACCTTAAGAAATAATTCTTGTTTTTTTAAACCTCAGAACATAGAACACATTTTAGTTGTAACGTTTAGAAATTTAGTTTAGCATGGGGAGACTTAAAAATCTTTACATAAAGGTGCAATATGGTAATTTTTTTTTAAAGTCTCCATAAAAGCAGTCTTTCTCGAAACTTTAGCTTTTGCAAACTTGGCGTTTTACAGAACTCGACTAATAAGCAGAATACAACCTTGTTCAAGGTCCATACCCCAGTCTTCCTTGCTTGATCATACTGTATGCCGGTGGCATCTTTAGCAGTCCTTCTGTATATTAGCCCCCTGCTGCGTGAAACCACCATATTTAATAATTCTCTTCCCCGTAATGTTCCTTTCCCTCTGAATCCTTTATTGGACATTCTGATCATTGAAGTGGCAGTTTTGGAGGTTACAGTGTAATTCTGGAGGGAAAAAGGAAGCCACACTGGCCACTTTAAGCCTTTTGGGTCTGCTCTGGGATTCAGCAGATCTCAGTGTGGCCTCACCGGCACCTTTACTATTTAGAAGAGGAGCACGTGATGATTCATTCTTCTTAACTGTGGTTGATTATTTATTCACGTGTAAATAACACTAAAGTCTTTAGACAGTGGCTGCTGCCACTTCCCTGAGGCTTTATTACAGAGTAGTAACGCTTCCCATTCTGCTGTGGTGTGTGTTTACTTTTTGTAGGGGTAAGAGAGAGGAGAGCAGCTGGGTGAGTGGTTCACTGGTTCTTTTGTCAGGATAATGAGAGGCTCAGAAAAGTTTGGAGCTGTACTGCTTAGTAGGAATTGGTAGTATTTCCAGGTCTGCTTAGATTGTTCTGTTACTTCCTGTAAAATAACAGTAATATTCAGTCCTCTGTGTAGCAATAAAAATTGATAGGGTTGACCCTTAAAGTGGTCAAGAAAAGTATTAAACACTAATTTTTGAAAGTAAATGTATTCAGTAGTTTTTCAGCCATCACACATCAACTGTAAGAAGTGTGTGTGTTAGATACTTGCGTGTGATAACAAAACATTAAAGCAAAATATTCACATGAATACATAACTATGATACTGACCTAATCAGAGCCATTTAAAAAAAAAAGAAATGCAGAACGTTAGCCTACAGATGAATTGTGGAGGACCACCTGGGCAATTCCTTGAAAGAAGAGCAGTTGCCTCTGTTCTGGCTCTATGTATTGATATGTACAGAGTTGGCTGGACTTTTCCTTATTCCGATTGGCTTTAAGCAATGCATATTGGTCTAGCTGAGGAGCTGGTGGTAGTCTTTGAAGGCAGCGCACGTGTTGCCCCAGTTACCCCCCTTGCTGTTGTTTAATATGAACCAGGTCCATACAGGAGAAAGAGCCAGTGCTCCACCCTGTGACCTGGGATGAGCCTGAGACAGAGGCTATGACTTCTAGGACTTGAAAGGTTACACATCAGCGCTGAAGCACCAACCTCAAAACATGAGATGCTATCTCCATTGTGTAATGCAGATTACTCTGCCTATCCTTCTCTGCATATTGCAGAGGTAAATACCAGCCTCCTACCTAGCCCAGCTCATAGGGCTCACCTACTTCTTGCCATTCTCAGTCATTCGTCCTCAAGCCACTCCTCCTTCATAACTGAATAAATCCTGGGTTCAGCCCTGGATCGAGGCCTTTGTTCTGGATAGCCATCACCATGGCTGAACTGAGGACCCCTTGGCTCCTTGTAACTATAAATATGCTTTAGTGGCCTTGTTTTCACCAAGGGTAGCACTAGAAGTGGTAGATTGGAATTAACTTGACAAGATTCCAATAATTTATCCATGGGATTACAAATGTAAACTTCCTGGATCTAGACAAGGACCAGAAAGGGCTCTCTATAATAAATGAGTGAATTTATAAGCCTTTTTTTCCCTTTAAGCTTTGACAAATTTATTTCACAGATCCGTGTGTACGTCATTAAAGTAAAAAAGGTAAATAGAAACACAAGGGAAGGAAAGAACAAAGCAGAAGGAAGAGGAGGCTAACCTGGCCATTTAGAAAGCCAGATGGGTTCAAAGGAAGGACCTGGGAGCACAAGTGCAAACTGGAAAGGACATCAGGTTGTAGCCTCTTTGTGTGTGGTATCAGTTTCCAAACTGACTTCCTTGGACCAAGCTCTTTTGTGGTAACTGGGCACATGGAAAGTATCAATGGACAGTGTGAGGAATAATGATTACGTAAACAGTTAAACATTCCCTCAGCACATCCACAGGCACCTGCCTGACACTGGACTAACTGATGGCAACCCTGCAAACGTGAGTTCCAGAGACTGATGGCAAGGCGGGGCAATGAGGGCTGGGACCAGTCAGATTCCAGGCTCAGGGTAGCGCTTGGGCTGGGCAGTAGGCCTCCCTACCACTAGGCTGGCTTCTCTTTGATCCATGCTTGATGTTGCCAAAAGTATTTTCCTTTAAAACAAAAACCTTGTATTACATCCTTGTTCAAAGGAAAAAAAAAAAAAAAAAAAGCAGTTTGGAATCCCAGTCGATTTTGAGAAAAAATGCAGAATTTGTGCTTGGTGTTTAAGACTTCACTATCTGGTTGTAGCCTCCTTGTGTGTAGTATCGGTTTCCATGCAGCTCAGCCCTGTGCTTCCCCCAGGACTCTCCGCCATTCCTGTGGATGTTGAGGGCTTTTCCCAACACACCTGGGCAAGTGGTGTTTAGTCCATAGTCGCTGTGAACTCCGGCTTAATTCTTTGGAGATGCCACTAGGTATTGACCCCAGTGCCTTCTGGAAAGTGCACTGATCTAGTGCAGCATAATCACATGTATAATTGACTGCTAATTTTAATCTTTTCTCTTCTCATGTATTTGTGTGTATGTGCTACCCATTGCATCGGGGCTTTGGCTTTAAAGATGGACAGGGCGGAATCCCTGCTAAGAGTTACTTTTCCCTTTTTGCTCTCATAACAAGTTGCTCATATCTCCTTAACTTTAAATATTTTCTTTTACTGTTTCCATTTGTTTATGTTTTCCCTGGTTAAGTTAAAATTCTGAGATAGGGGCCGGGGAGATGGCTCAGTAGAATAGGCACTTCCCTGGCAAGCGTAAAGGTCTGAGTTCAATTTCTGGTTCTACCGGGCTGGGGAGATGGCTCAGTAGGATAAGTGCTTGACTGACAAATGCAAGGATCTGAGTTCAATCCCCGGTTCCACCAAAAAAATAAAGAAAGAAAGAAAGAAAGAAAGAAAGAAAGAAAGAAAGAAAGAAAGAAAGATTTTAGGGGCCCGGGGAGATAGCTCAGTAGAATAAGCGCTTGCCTGGCAAGTGCAAGGTCCTGGGTTCAATCCCCAGTACCACCAAAAAAAAAAAAAAAAAAAAAAAAATTTCTGGTTCTACCAAAAAATAAAAAAATAAAAATAAAGTAAAATTCTGAGACAGCATATGTCTAAGTTTATTTTTCCAGGAATGTAGCTCAGGCAGGGGACGAGTGCCTTGCTACACATGTAAGACATTCAGTCACTGGTGCCCCTCCATTACTTGTAATGCTAAATATTTTGATTGTATGAAAAAATGTGTATATGTGTATAGTTGGGAAATATGTGGTGGTGGAGAATAAAAGGTTTGGGGCAGGAGAATACATGTAATCCTATAAAATGTATTTTTATTTGTATTAAAATATAGTACAATAAGTAATCATATGTATAATTGGCTGCTAATTTTAATCGTTTCTATTACTTCTCTTTCAGTTGGTTTTCCCTCATTCCTGCAGGCTGCCTGTTATATTCTTATATACTTTCACTGTCCTTAACCTCAATAATCAACTGCCTTGTATTATAATTATCTCTATTCATCTGTCTTGTCAACTAATAGTAAACTTCCTCAAAGCAAAGATTGTACGTTCTCACAACAAAAATCATTGAATAGTATCACTTATGAAATTTTTATCTTGCTTGGGAGATTATTTTTAGTATCTCTTCTGAAATTTCAAGTAAATGTGCATTTCCCTTTGTTTTACTTAGGATATTTTACAGGCACCCTTAACCCCATTAACTCCTGTCCTCTCTTCAGATGTTTAGTAACCTGCTTCCCTGTCATTGCCTTCTCCCACAGTGTTTACAGTGGAGACCTAAAGTAGCTTTTGTTTCACGTTTTGTGAAAGCCTTCAGTTGTTCCTTGATCTGGGCAGCACAGCCCATTTCTCAGGCCCCCCACCCTGCGCTTCGGAGCTTATTATCATGGCACTGCCTGTAATTTGTGTGATGCCTAAGGATATAATTCCAGCATTAGCGGTTCAGGTTCCTTCTCCTTCCAAAGCTCTATTGTGGAATTCTCTCATGATTTGCCTTTTCAAAGAGTATGTTCTTTCTAACCCTAAATTCTGTTTTTTCTCTTTTTTCTCCAACCCCCACCGAGCAGGGCTCTGCCTCAGCTCCACAGTAGTGTTTGCCTGGCCCAAGCAGCCCTGGGGTCAGATCCCCAGCACTACCCAGAAGTCTCAAGGTCAATATCACCAAAGGAGTAGTTGCCCTCATGGTAAAGTAAGAAGTACATGGATAGAAAATTACATATACACATTTAATAAGAATATGTGTATTAGAGTGTGAGGAGATTCTTATAAATAAAGCTGGTGGAAATAGTGGATGGATAAGCCATTAAAACCCCTTAGGCCTTTTCTTTTGTTCCAGTACAGATGTTGAGGTTTCTAATGAGAAGAATCTCTGTCTTACTTATTAGTATCTGTTGTTTTCTTAATTTTTAACTCAGCAAAGTTGTTTGCTCTTTGAGCAAGATGAAAGTAAGAAATTGTGTATCTTTCATATTACATACTTATTTAGAATAAATTTTAAAATAAATTACATTAGGGGGCCAGGGAGATGGCTCAGTAGAGTAAGTACTTCCCTGGCAAGCACAACCGCCTGAGTTCAATCCCCGATTCTGCCAAAAAGTTAAATAAATAAAATAAAAATGACCAGGCTGATTCAAACTTCTTAAAAATAAATAAATAAATAAATAAAAATAAAATAAATTACATTAATACATGGCCTAGCTAGTTTTAATTAAGGGGTAGTGCTACTTGTTTCCTTTTTTATAATTTAGTGGGTTTTTTTTTTTTTTTTTTTTTTTTTTTTTTTGTATTTTTAGGGAAGGGTCTACAGGGCGTTCAGGGTCTCACTACTAGATCGGACTCGTAGTGATCCGCCTGATTACAGCCTCCCAATAGCCGGGATTACAGGCCTGCGCCACCGTGCCCTGTCTCAGTTGCCTTCTTAGTACACCCTGGTGGTAGGGCTGGCATGGCAGGCCAGGGGGATTGAACCCCTAATCCGCTGAGCTATTTGACTGGCCCTTAGTAGGTTTTCTTATATTTTTGCTACTTTTTTAATTAGTTGAGGTAGTACCATATCTTTAAAAATCAGTGTGTGATTAATTTTAATCATAATTTTATCAAAGGTTGGTATGATTTTCAGTGTTTTTTTAATTATAATTTTGACTTTGGTGTTTTTCAAAGTTTTTAAAAGTATAAACTACTAGAAGAAATAAACCTGAAGGATTACTGTTCATATAATGAGCAGCTGTGCCAGAGGCTTTATAGCCCCTCAAGCTCTTGGGCCCTTGCTTGCTCTGTGGCAGCGGGAAGGAAGAGCTGAGGTCCACCAGCCACACCACCTGTATGCTCCCCAGGACACTCACAGGAGTCAGCACTGAGCTTCATCTTAAAGGCTGAGTCCTCCGGGTGGGAGAAAGTGAAGGCTCTGTGCTGTTGTAACACACTTGACATGTGTTACATACCATTTCTAGAGAGTAATCCTCTTTTTTCTGACTTTCTATGCCCAGTCCTGTTTGCCAGCTTTGTGCACATATCTTGACTATAGCAAATTATCTTTACAGAGGTCGCCCAGAAAGAGCCCAGAAATAATTTTTTCCATGCAAGGAGTATGAAAATACAGTACTGATATAGCAGACCTATGATGGCTCAAATAAAAATCTGTGCTTCTTTATAGTAAAGAAACTATGCTTGATCAGAATTAGAGCTGATGCTAAGTAATTTGTGTTGGATCACTCTATAATTTTAAAATGTTTATTGAATGCCTGGAAAGCACTGTTCTGTGTTGGACATATATTGGTGAATAAAACATAGTTGTGCCTTTATGGAGCTTGTATTCTAATAGGAGAAACTGATGAAAATCACCAAACTGTGTAATTACAAATTGTATTATATTCTGTGAAGGAAGCAATGTGGAAGAATAGTCAAGTGTCAGATGGTGAGCCCTTGAAAGAAGTCATTGGGGAGGACTTTCTGTAGAGGCGATATTTTACAGACAAACTGAAACAGAAGATTAAATCCTGGGGAACAACTGAAGGGGTAGAAAGAGTTCCAGGCAGAAGGACCTTGTGCAGGAAAAAGTTCAGTGTGTTCCAGGAATTGGAAGACGAGCGTGTTTAGAGTCAAGGGTGCCTAGGAATAGCAGGGGCCAGGGTTTGCAGGGTTTTTATTTTTTGAGTAAGTACCCTTTGAGTTCACTGAAAAACTTAGAGAAGATTGATCAAGTATAGCTCGTTTTAATAGTGCTTTTAGAAGGAGCCAGCAGTGTTAACCACAGAACACTTCCAAGGAGGTGACCTGCATTGTGAAGGCAAGAAATTGCCAGTGGCTTAAAAGACTGAAATAATGCTAGTGAAAATCAGAGGGGATGGATTTGAACTTGCTTTTAGAGGAAGAAGTAGGATTTCCTGATAGCTTTGCTACAGGGTATGACGGGAGCCAGCGAAGGCCTTCACTGTGCGGCTTGAGCATCTGTCTGGCTGTGTGCTGGTGATTCTTGAGACAGAGCATCCTGAAGAACTCACTGGGGGCATAATTAAGTTTGAACTCAGGACCTGTTGAATTTAGAGTGCCAGTATGGCATTCAGTGATGAAATATACTGAACACTTGTCTCCTAAAGTTCTGTACTTAGCCATCCCAGAGCACACCTCCTTTAGATCTTTTTTTTCCAGGGCTCCCTTCTCCTTAGGGCCTTCCTTGGCCAGCTAAGTGAAAATTGAAGGCTCACATCACTTGTATCCCTTCTGTGCTTAATTTTGGAGTCAGATCGTTGTGTATTGATCACTACTGTATCCTAAAATAGGGTGTAATTGTTTGTTAAGTTAATATATAAAACCACTCGAGTGTTCTGTTACTTCCAAAATTTTTTGTTAGTGTTTGTTGTTAGGCTTTTGGGTTGAAAGAGCCCAGTTTTCTTGTGAATTTTTGTAGGAAATTTTATACAGTACAAATATACACATAGAGGTGTATGCATTACATTCTTTAAGGATAAAACATAATATCTACAATTTATATTTTGTCTCAATTTTCAGGTTACAACTGATGGAAAACCAAAAATCATTGATATCATTGATACAACAGGAAGTGGCGATGTGAATACTGCTACAGAAGTAGAGCCAAAAGATGGTGAAATGATTGGCCTTTCAGGAAGAGTGCTTAAGGTTGGAGCTTTTATCTAATTTTGTTCTCTCTCTCTCGCCCCCCTTTCCTTTTTTTTTTTTTTTTTTTTTTCTTGCTCTACTGTTAGCTCTGTTACCTTACGGTTACTGATCATTGAACTTGCATTTACCCAAGAGGATTATAGACACCCTATTGCTACGTAACAAATACTCTAGACCCTTGTGGTGTAAAACAACAAATAGTTATTACATCACAGTTTCTGTGAATCAGAGG